CAAAGCCCCAGCTCACCTGGGAAGGTACAGAGTGAGGAGGGCGTCCAGGTACAAGCTGGGGCTGGGAGGGCCGGCAAGGGCAACCTGGGGGCAGGAGCCAAAGACCTGGGAACCGAACCGAGGGTGGAGGCAGGTGTCTAAGAGGCTCCACGACACCCCCATCCCCACTATAGGAAGCCCTATCTTCTGGGCTCTTCGCCTCCCTGAACACCTCCCAGCTCTGGGGGCTGCAGTGGAAAGACCACGGCATCCAGCATCAGAAGCCACCTGGTAGCTGGTGCATGTCATTCCCCGACCGGGCCTCAGTCTCCTCCTCCTCAGAATGGAGGTGGGGTGGGAATAAGCCCAGCTTGACCATCTGCTGTCGGGTGGATCCTGGGACTGTGCACACCCCTGGGCAGGTTTTCAGCTCCACTCCTTTCTCACCACCACGCAGGGTGGCCTCCTCCCCTCCCTCCACCTCCTCTCCACCCCCCACCCCCGCCCCCTTCACCCTGGGCCCTGGCACCGCACTCCATGCCTATTTAAGGCAAATCTCCTGATCTCCTTTTAAATAACATTCTCTCCTTGTTATGCAGAAGACAAGCAGGGCTTCGGGAAAGAGGAGGAGAGCCCCAAGTATCCCATCGGAGGCTGGAGGGGGAGGGGGGTATGGGGGCAAGAGGCATGGCTCCCTCCTCCCACTGTGAGCTTGGGAAAGTCCTTGCCCCCACCCCCGCCTCCACTTTGGTCCCCTCACTTCTTAGGCCCTGGATTGGCTAGAACCTCTTAGAGGGGCTGAGACAGCCCTCACTACCTGGGGGTGGGAGGATGGGGAATGATGCTAGCCCCCAGGCCCTGGGTGGGGGGGTGGGGTATGCTTGGGTGAAGAAGTGGTGCAACCAGGGTGGTAGTGAGGGGAGAGGGAGGATCTGGGGTAGGATTGAAATCTGATCTCACAGCCTGCCCAGTGTGAGGATGAAACACAACTGCTCTTTGGTTTTAGAATCTGAGGCTCAGAGAAGCCAAGAGACCTGCCCAAGGCCACACCGCCAGTGAGCGGAAGGGTCTCTATGCGACACCCGACAGTGACTCTTGTCAGGCACCAGGCCTCACTCAAAGCCCCTGCACATACTCTTCTGCCCGTTTCACCTCTCAGGCGGAGCCCCGACTCCTGCCTTCTGCCTCCCTCCTCTTTTCCGCAGGCCCACCACGCTTCTCCCCTCCTCCTGGGTTCCTGCCCCCCCCCCCCGCCCCCTACCTTCCCACTGCAGGACCCAGCAGAGCCCTTCCCAGCAGCTCAGTTCTTTCTCTTTGAGGCCCAAGGCCCTACTCTCCTGATGCCTGCTCTCCCCTCTTCCCAGTCTTTCTCCAGGTGGCCCTCCCCAGCCTCCCATCTCAGCCCCGCTAATCCCCCTGTGGTCCTCACATGACTGAGCCGCCCTCTCCAGGGTTCAAAGGGAGAGGGTCAGGGATCCTTTGCAGATCATGTTGCCTCCTCGGGTCCAGGCACTCATTCCTCAGGCACGTGAGCCACAACAGGCTGCGCCCCCCCCCCGCCCCGCCCCCCATCAGTGTCAGGCTGCGGCTGGACTCGGGTTGGGGGACAGAGTGAGGGAGAAGGCCTGGCCTCTTCTTCCTCCGAGCACTGAGCGCAGAAAGGGCCAGATCGGTCAGCTGGTCCAGTGGCCTCATTTCACAGATGAGCAAACTGTGGCCCAGGGAAGGGGAAGGGAGGCCAGGGGTCCCACTATGAGACAGAAGCCAAGCTGGTGTGGACTTGATTCCTGGGGGAGGAGGGTCTATTATAGGAGGAGATTCAGCTCCTTGTTTAATGGGGGTGTCCCTGAGCTTCCCAGGGTCTTTCTAGCTTGGTTCTACCATTAACCCATTGTGTGCCCTTGGGCAAGCCCCTTTTCCTGTTTGGGCCTCAGTTTCTTTGTGTAAAACAGATGGGTTGGATAGATGATAGCTGAGGTGCCATCCCATCAGCCCAGCCCTACTCCCCCAGGCCTCTTTTCTAGGCTCCTGTTCTGGCGCAGGCCACCTCATAGCTCACCAAGATTGCTCCGACAGCCTCTGCTGGCCTCCTCCGTTCTCTTCCCCTCTGACTAACCCACACACACATCGCTCAGGTAACCTCCTGAGGCTTGGGAACCTCCCATGGTGCCCAGGGGCCTCCCTCAGAATAAGCCACCTCATCACCTGGCAGTCGGCACATCTCGCCTGCAGTCCGACCCTGGACTCAGTTCCTCCTGTGCCGAGGGCACTAACAGCCCCTCAACTCGGGGGACTGTGGTGCGGACACGCTACCCGGCACTCCTGGCTCTCTGTGCTGGACAGGCTGCCCGTCCCACTCTCACTCTCCTTCATTCAAATCGGTGAGGTCCCCTCAGGCTGGCCAGGTCCCACTACCTCCTCGCGAGGCCACCGTCTGGGGCCCATCAGAGGTGACCCCGCCCACTTGGAGCTCCCACCGGCTGGACTCCGCTCGCCTGCCTGCACCTGCAGCTCCCACCACCCGGTGGGCAGTATAGAAGGGGGGCTCCTAGAGAACCAGCTGGCAAGGCACTGGCTGAGGGAAAGGCTGGGCCTGTGGGCTGCAGCTCACTCCCCTACCTTCCCCCGAGCTCTGTTTTTGACACAGATTATCTTTGACCTTCAGAGACATCCTCAGCACCAACTTCAAAAAAAGCTCATAGTTGGGCCTCAAGGCAGACTCTTAACTGGAGGTTTTAGACCCTGTGTTGCCCTGTTCAGGTGATTCGCGAAATCAGAAAGACTCACAAAGCTTCCCGGGTTAGAGCATCATCCCACTACTTCCCCCGGCCTCTGTTTTTGACACAGATTATCTTTGACCTTCAGAGACATCCTCAGCACCAACTTCAAAAAAAGCTCATAGTTGGGCCTCAAGGCAGACTCTTAACTGGAGGTTTTAGACCCTGTGTTGCCCTGTTCAGGTGATTCGCGAAATCAGAAAGACTCACAAAGCTTCCCGGGTTAGAGCATCATCCCACTACACCGAGGTTGCAGGTTCAATCCCCAGTCAGGGCACACACAGGAAGCAACCAATGAATGCGTAAGTAAGCGGAACAACAAATCGATGTTTCTCTCTCTCTCTCTCCCTTCCTCTCTTTCCTCTAAAATCCATCAATAAAAATAAATAAAAAGAGGAGAAAAAGAAAGCAAGCTTCCCCCAAAGACCCAGGAAGTGGTAGCTGGTAGAAAATCCATGTTATTAGAAGAAACTGCTAAGGGAAGAGAAGCCAGACCTAGGAGCTTAGAGACCACCCACTCTGGGGTCTGAACACTGCTTCAACCACTGGTAGGGCCTCCAAGCCTCAGTTTCCTCATCAGTAAAGTGGGGACAATACTACCTATTAGATAAGAATTAGATGATGCATGCAGAGTGCTTAGCTCATGGCTTGGTACCTCATATATGCTCAAAATATGCTAGCGATAAGCCTTATTGATGACAGATGGACCCAGGCCCCCAGCTGAGGGTGGGGAGGAGGGCTGTGGAGAAGCAGGGAGGCACCAAGGCACAGGTTGCTTAGCCAGAGGTGGGCAGCTGGTTAGAGGCTAGAATAAAACACAAAGTCCCCAGCCTGTTGCTAAGCAGTCTATATACATTACCTCATTGAAACCTCAGTCTCTTCCTCAGTCAAAAATAAGGGTTTGGAACAGAAGCTTCCTAAGGCTTTTCCAATTCAGCGAGTACTTGTAAAAGGTTTTCTGTGTACAAAGTATTTTTCACTTTGTAGTCAACCTATAGTCCTGTGTGTGTTGTAATAGTTGCAACAGTCACACAACTAGATCTGGGACAGGAACCAAGAGGAAGGCTCCGTCTTCCCCCAGGACCTGGTGGCAGAGGGTTCTGAGAGGGGTGGGTGAGACCTGAAGCTCCACCCAGGGCCCAGGGAGGGGCATGGCCCTTGGAGACGACGTCATGGAAGCTTGGCTCTGGCTCCTGCCCTGCGTCCGGTTCTGCCGGGCTATGCCGAGGCCCAGAGGCCTGGGTCTGGAACTCATCAACCCCACCTGTCAGCCCTCCATGGCTGGCTCGCTGGCCTTTGGTTATCACTAAGGAGAGTGTGGCTTCAGTCCAGGGGCCCCAAATCCCTTCCCTGCTAGCAACCTTAGGGCAGGGAGATGTGTTCCCACCAGCCAAGCAGCCCCAATTTGACTGAGCTGTTATATGACAGGCTCTGTGAAATACGCAAAGACCTCACTATTCATAAATATTTATTGAACACCTACAGTGTGCCTGGCCCTGAGCCGGCTGCAGGGAATCAGACAGACATTCCTATTTACTCTAGTAAAATAAGCTGTAAAGGAAAGCTACGTGTGATGGGAAATAAAAGAGAGGAATTCGCTTTACTCAAGGAAAACAGAGAAGGCCTTTGAGCGGAGAGAGGATGCATAGCTGGGAAATGCATTCCAGAGAGAGGAAAGGGCCCCCGAAGGACCCCGAGATAGGGACATGCGGCGTATTTGAGAGCCACAGGACCAGTGTGAGGTGGGCACACAGTAGGCTCGCCCTCAATAAATGCCAGCTGAACAAATTAACCAACGATCACAAGGATTCCTGCTTCCAGCCAAGGTGGAGCAACAGGGACTGGACTGACATTCCCACTTAAAACAACTGAAATGCCCAACAAAATATATGAAACAAAGGCCCTAAAGACATTGAACGCCAGATGACGAAAAATATACGGTGTCTCCCCAAAATGTATACACACTTTGAATCATTATAAAGGCAGTGTTTATTAAAATACATTTCATTTTTGGGGGGTGCGGATGGGAGCAGGCTGGAAGAGGTTAATGGGGGGAAAAGGAGAACCTATGTAATACTGTCAACAATAAAGATTTTAAAAAAGACATTTCATTCTCAAAACTGAGCTATCCTCTGTTACAGGTTAATGGGGGGAAAAGGAGGACCTATGTAATACTGTCAACAATAATGATTTAAAAAAATACATTTCATTCTCAAAACTGAGCTATCCTCTGTTACAGTGCCCATACATTTTTTGGGGGACACCCTGTAGTGACTCCTGTGAGTCAGAAAACAAATGTGGTGAGCCCCACTTTACTGCCCGAAGCTTCCAGACCAGGGCAGGCAGGTG